GAGTGGTTTTCTTAGAATTTGGCGTACGCATGATGGTGACGGAGCCCTGTCTCTGCCAAAAAGACTGATAATGTCAGGAAGAATTGTGTAAAAATCATATTAGTGCAAAAACGAAGCATTCCAGAATTCTTGGAGCCAGAGAGACCTGGGATGAACTTAACATCCTCCCTTCTCTTCTTTTGCCTCCTTTCCTCCCATCGCCCCGACCTCCAACACTCAAACAGATTTTATTACTTCATGCAAATAATCTCAAGTTATCATTCTCTTACTCTTTTTCCAAATTGAGGGAAAGTGAAAGAAAAATGTGTTAGAAAGATACTGTTGAAAGAAATATATGTGATGTTTTGCTGAAGTTTGGAATTATCCTGGAGAAAAAATCTGAACCTTTTACATTTCTACTTTTCGGTAGGCACTAAACTCAGTGCTGTGAAAACAATGAGTACATTATAGAAATGATAAGGCAATCTCAATGATGATAAAGATTTGGGGGGGATGGAGGAAGGAAGAAAAACAACTAAAAAGGAAGGGTGGCCCCTTGTTTCTGTTTTTCTAATCAGACACAATTAAAATTGTGTACATTCTAAAATGAGAAAAGCAAGATTTATCATCGTTTCATGCTATCGTATTATATCCTGAAGCGAAAGAAATATTTGGAATTGCACCTAAAACTTCAACTGCTGAAAGATTTTTAGAAAACCAGTTTTGTATGTTTCAGCCTTTCAAAGGCAAACAGAACTTGGGAGTTTTCAAGGCTGTTCTAAAACTGGCAAGTTACCAACTCTGGCTATCAATGCAAATCTGGGCAGGAAGTACTAAGGAAATTCTAAACTCATTCCCTCCCTCGGCAAGATTTTCTACATCTTCATGTGCAAGGAGTGTGTTAAAGGGTTGTTTTGTTTTTGAAGGATCTGTACATTCACATCTTTAAGAACAGCCTTTGCCCCCCCAGGAGCCTCTGTCTTCATTTGCTTCTCCTCAGCCCTACTGTTGTTCTCAAGTGTTTGCTCTTTCTATGGCACAATCCACTGGGCTCCAGCTAGACTTTTAGAGACGGGCGGCAGTCCAGGCTGCAGATGGTTGGAAATTCAGCCTGAAATCAGTGTGCTGTTGATGAATCACTCCTTACACCTGACCCCAACTTCGCACCAGGCTCTGAACACAATCTGAGTATCACCAGCCAGAGAAACTCTGTCAGGGTCCCGGAGTCTGAAGCCTTTGCTTCAAGATCTTCCGGGGCAGCAGATGGGAAGGCAGTAGACTGATGTAAGGGCAATATGATTAGAAACTGTGTCCTGGGATTGGTAGAAACATAGTCAACTAGTAGGAAGACAGACAAGTTTGCTGAGTGTGCTTTGACAGATTTTGAAGTTTTCATGAAGATAATTAAAGTTTTCCAACTATCACATACATAGGAGAGAAATATCACTTATCTGCAAAATAACAATTCACCAGGCTGTGACCATGTTTTACTCTCTTAGCTTTTGTAGTTTAACTAGTTTGCTTTTCCAAGAACACCCCCGACTCTCACCCTACCCCGCCAAAAACCTCAAAATCAGCCTGAAATTCATCCTGGATCTCAAAATAAAAAAAGCAACAGGTCGGTTGCTTTGAATGGGCAGTGACAAAATTCTTGAGAAATATTAGGTTACAACTCAATCAAACATCATTATGTAAATTATCACTAAGCTAATGAACAATTTTTTTGATCCCCTTTCTCTAAAACCTGCTGATTATTCTGGGTGGATTCCCAACAGCAAATTTCTTTAAATGAAACTCATGCTGTTTAATCCAGTTATGTCTCTTATTTAAATATCATGAAATGTCACCAAGATATCTTCATTACTTCTTAATCAAAAGCAACACTCACTTTTTGAAATTGCTTCTCTCGGTAGGAAAACAATTGATCAAAAGGAAAATTAACAAATGGCAACTTTTAATGTGAGGTCTGGCAGAGTAAGCATATTTGACAATACTGCTACAAGGTATAGCTGCAAGTCAGCCACTGAGTTTCCATTTTATAGAACTTACAAGTGAATTTTTCTAATAAAACATTTTAAGCCTCTCGAAAAATATTCAAAGGGACAAAAACATAAATATCTTATTTCTATTTTTAAAAAATGTTTAAGCAACAAAGTTAAGAGATTGCCTTTAACGTAATGGAAAATGAGAGGAGCAGAGAAGGCAGGGAAGTGTCCCAAGCTTTTTTAAAACTTTAATTACACCTGAAAAACATTTGCATTTATTTCAAAATCTCATTTTCACTTTGTTTTATCATAAGAAAATAGCAACTGTACCTGACACACACATTTAAGCAGAATGAGAAGGTTCAGTAGTTTTGCATTTTCTGAATGACTACAACAGACATTACAGTCCTTTAAAATCCCATGAAGATTTTTCCACCCAAAACTAATGTCAACAAAGAGCTTTGGTGGCTTAGTAAAAAAGAAATCACCTGAATTTAGAGTTGAATGTAATATCACCAGAGTATAACTATCAACCATAGATTTCTAATTATATCAACCATAAGTATTCTTTATCTGTCAGCATCATTTTTAATAAGATTTTAAAGTAAGATTATAACTACAAAATTAAACCTAGAACACAGTGGATTTTATGAATTCACCTCGACTTACAAATAAATAGAAGCAGAATGTAGATCCTTCAAAATTATTACAGGGTATATTTTGAGATATAAGTGTAAAAAGGCCAAAAAGTGGTATTGAAATAACCCACTGGTTTTCACGACATACTGGGGCATGACAGTACTTTTTTTACATAGTATTCATGCTGTCAGAAAGTCTCCGCCTTTTAAAATACAATTGTGCATTGACCCTTCCTCCCATTTCTTGTATGACCGAGTTTCAAAATAGGGCACGTGCTCACAGCCTCAGCTTCCAGGAATGTTATTAATGTCTGTCATTTCAGAGCCGCCGTAACAATATTCGACAACTTCACAGCACTGTCGAAATTTTACAACATAATAATCAATAGGAATTACCCTGATAGCCGAAGTAGCTGATCTTTTATTCCCTACCACCCTGATCTGATTACCCCAATATCAGCTTAGGTCTCCTAATGGGTCTAACTTCTTTAAAAATGTTCCAGAAGTTGATGGCTTTGACTAGCTTGAAAGTAACAAGATCCAGATGCCGCCTGTCTACACAACACTAAACTATATAGGACCCCAAAACAGCTTTAAAAAAAAAAAAACTCCCTTTTTATTTTTCAGTCTCTCCTCTCCTCCTCACCACTCCACTTTCCCCTTTATGACAATCACACACACACACACACTTTCCACCAGTGGGGCTCATCCAGAGTCCTGTGTCTTTAATATAACGGACATGACATTATATCCTGGTAGGAACAGGTTAAAAGAAATCCCAAGCAGAAAAGCAATTATTCCATTCATTTCGATCTAAAGTTTCTTTTCTAAATATACTGCCTAGTAGAAAACAAGGACCAAAGTGAGAGTGTGAATTTTGAAACATTTGGAAAAATTTAGCCAAATGAGTAAAAGGGATGGAATGTCCGATATTTTTCATGCAACCCTTGATTTTGTTGTTTTTGTTTCTTTGGGGGATGAGAAATGACCGTAAATTTCCCCCTTTCAACTTGTCCTTGCTTTGCCATTTCCTCGAGGAAGGCAGGCAGTGTTCTCCTCCCAATCCCCAAAGAGTTAAAACTCAAGGCACTGGAGCAGAAGGGCTGGTCTATTTAAGCAGCAGCAGCACAAACTAAATGCTCACAAAGGCAAAAAGCAATGTGAGTCGACCTTGGAGGGGCAGGGCAAATCACAGAGCGATGTAAAAAGAAAGAAAAAAAAAAGCAACCATCTTTAATATAATATTGAAAGTCTGCAGCCTGGTCTGGTTCACAAATAGGCATTGTTTGATGAGACAGAATAAATGAGAGATAACTACAGCATGAATTACTAAAGCCTAATCACATCATCCAGTCCCGGTGACAGCCCAGATCACTCAGGCACGCCTTGTGCACTCTCCGCATATTTATCTACTAAGAAGACTGTGAAGTCTGGCTAATGCAATACAAAATAATATGATCTGTAGAGAAATATAATCCATGCATTCAAGGTGGGAACTCTACAGACATTCCCCCCCACCAAAAAAAATCAAGTCCAATTTAACTGACAAATTGGAGCAGTGATATCACACCTGAGAGCCCTTCATGTGTGAACTGCAGGATAAAGTTCACAGCTGGCACTGCCCACTGCTCAGTTCCACGGACTTGCCACTGGCCCCCTAACGATCACCTGAGCACACACTAAAGCCTGAAGTATTTAACCAATTCACATCCAATTACCATCCGTTACATTTCATCCCATTTCACGACCCCGGCCTTCTGATGGCAGCCAACACAGACAGAGCTCCTGAAAGTCAAGAGCATCTACTGTAAACCTCCACAATTCAGTTTCTAGCATCCTAGCCATCCACTATATGAAATAAAAAACATAAGGCAAATGTAAAAAAATACACCCGAACAAACTCCAAGAGACTTTACTTAACTGTCTTAGACCTTCCATAACCTTCTTTTATTCTATACTCAGCGATTAAAAGTTTGAGTTACCCCTACCCTGGCGTGTCCTATCCAGTGGGAAAAACCCTCTTAGAGTCACAAACAAAGAACAGCTCGCTGGAAAAGCCCTGAAAATTGTACTCTTTTGCCTGCTTATCACTGTTAGGATCTCCTTTCTAACAGCCCTGCCCATATGCAAAGGACTTTACAGATACCAGGAACATTTATGCTGCCAAATAACAACAAAGGAACTCCAGTGAAACTATTATCTCTCCTTAAAGAGAAAGCCACAATTCCTTTCTTCTTCTAGTCTCCGCTGCCTCATTACCTCCATTGGTATGTTATTAATTTCAAAGAAGCAGGAAGAAGTGACGGGGCGGGGGCTTCAATAATAATTCACATGCCTGTTTCCCATCCCAAGTGCAGGAGGATACCACACTGATGCCAGACTGTGGGGCGAGCCATACCTTGGTTTGGAGATAATGAGGATAGTAGTAAGTGTACTGGGGGTACATTTGTGGCTGATCCAGGCGTTTGCCCATGTAGCTGGAATCTTTATCTCCGAGGCAGGGAACTGGATGACAGGGTATAGTGCCCCAGGCCGAGCTTCCTCTTAAACCACTATTCCTGACAGTCCCGATGACTGATGAGGCTTCCGAGATTCCTGTCTTCCACCACTCGCTAGTTCCAACACAGCCAGAATATAAAAAAGAAACACACAAAAAGGAGATGGGGATCGGTAGGGGGAAAATAATCCACACAGCTTCCCCAGATCTTGTCTGCCTTCCCCCAGCTGCCAGGGTCCACTTCGGATGAGGCAGTTTGTTCCCTACCAGGCTGTCTGTAGTGATGTCAATTGCCAGCGTTTGTAAAGGGAAAAAAAAAAAATCAAAGTCCTTTCAGCATAACTCCGAATCCTTGCAGATCAGCTTCCTGTCTCCTGTTTGTCTCTTTCCTCACCTTAAAGAAAAAGCAAATAAAAGGGAAAAAAAGAAAGAGAGAAAGAGAAAGAAAGAAGGAAAAGAAAACAGGGGAAAAAAAGAAAGAAAAAGAAAGGGGAAAAGAAAAAGGGGAAAAAAAAAACCTTGCACAGCTTAGTTGCTGCTGTCTCCCTCCCAGAGTGACATGGTGATCGGGGCTCGTCCTGTCCTTTCATTCACTTCCCCTCCTTCCAGCCGGTGGGTGGAACCGAGAGAGCCTCTCCAGGGAGCAGCGTACGCAGTCCAGAAGGCTGCAGTATTTCCTCCAAGAAAAAAAAAAAGGCTGCTTCAACCCCTGCTGCAAGCAAAGTTCCGATTCCCTCTGCTGGCTATCTCGAATAGCAAAGCGATTTTTGCAGGGAAGCTGCTGCCGCTGGAACTGAACCGGGAAACTCAGATGCGGGCGGTGGATTATTTCTTATCCTTCCCTCCATCTACTCCCCAGAAGAGCTGCCTTCTTTCCTTTTCGTGCCAAGTTTCAAGGTAAGCCAAACTGCTAAACAAAACACTGAAGACCGTGGGAGGGAGGAGAGGAGGAAGGGAGGGAGGAAGGGAAAGGGGGAAAAAAATCAAGGAAGAGGGAATAACCTTGCTGGTTAAAATACAAAAAGTATGTATGTCCTGGATGCTTTCAAAACCTGTTAACACACTAAAGCCAGATGAATCCAAGACCTGGTTTAGAAACTAATGTTTTACTTCTTGGAGGACGTGGAGGATGCTAAGTATTGAGGAAATTCTGAGTCTACACCAGGACTACTGTTAACAAACCATGCTTCACCGACCACAGTGACCAACTTATCATAACAGAAATAGTCATTCTTCAATAGTCATTCCGTCCTATTTGTAAATATCAAAAGAGATGTTCCCTCAGGCTTGTGAGCTTCTTTTTAAATAAAAGCACTGGTTCTCTCATTGTCTATCTCTTTATGACGATTTTGATAGTGGATGCTCTAATCACTTTACTGATATCACCCACACACATACACACATGCAAAGAACAAAAATCATAATTACTTGGCAAAGTTTTCCCCCACCAATAGCAAGTGATATTCTGACATGTCAATCAGCAGCTGCATTATAATATGAATTGTTTCCAAGAAAATATATTTCCTTAAAGGGTCTCTTTTCAAGGCTGGCAAGGCTAAAATTAGCCGCGCCAGCTGTGTTTTGCTGTGAGTGCTCACGCATGCCCAAAGCGTGGGCCGGCCAATCCTGAGCTGCTCTCTACTTTGTCAAGCCGGCTCTGTTCTCCCCAGCCCAGAGTCGCCCTTTCAGAGAGAAAGTTCTTGGTACAAATCCAGTTTGCTAGTCAAGAGTAGCATTCGGGCGCAATGCACAATCTGGTGTTCATCCACGTACAAGCCTGGAGGCCATGGGCTTCCGCTTGGGGGTCTGGTTTCTGGAAGCTGTGTGAGTGCAGGCTTGTTCCTTGGAGAAAGATAAGGGTGGTGAGTAAACAGTTTTATGTTTGACTGCTGACAAGAACAACAATCAGAAGGAAGGAAGGAGAGGGGATGGGAGGGTAGGAGTTCAGAGCCCTGAGAGCTCTGTAATTAAGGAGATGAAATCCACTCCTCTGATGTTTAAATGTGTTATTCTGGGCCTCAGTTGCCCCATCTGGAAAATGAAAATCCTGCCAACTTACCTGAATGAAGGTGATGGACTAAATCAGATACTAAATAAACATCCCATTGGTTTAAAAATCCTTCAGTGGCATCTCCTTGCTCGGGCTATAGAGCCTGACTCCTGGAATAGTTTTCAAGACACTTGAAAACCCCACTTCCTCATTCTGACTCCGATGATAAACTCTGCACCTCACCTTCTCCACCTGAGTCACGCTGAACTGCTTTTAGAACTGCAAAGTGCTCGCTCAGGGCCTTCTGTCATTCCCTCTAATCAGAGTGCTCTCCCAAAGCCACCTCCATGTCCCTTACCCTTCACCCCGGCGTTTAGGCCTCAGCATGGATATCAGCCCCTCCCAGTAGCTCTCCCTGAACCCCTGCTACCCCGCTGCACCTTGCATTTGCCCTAATATTGTGCTTATACTACATAACTTCCTGTTAATTACAAGTTGCTTCCATGATACTTGAAAAGCATCAGGAAAAACAGGGATGTAGGAGTTCCCATTATGCTGGTTTATCTTCCTATTTCCAAAACTGGTGTGGTGACCAGCATACAGGGATGCTCTATTTGTTTGGTGAATGAGACATCTTAAACATAGTAATTCCAACACCATTCATGACCTTCTTTCAGTCCGTTACAGTACATTTCTGGGCACAGGAGATGTGGTGATACGTGGATCGGAGCAAGGCCTTTCCCTCGGACACTGTATATTCTAGTCAGGGAGATAAACAAAGGAATGAGCAAGGTATAAATGGGCAATATAAGATCACGTGACACTAGTCCTGCTACAAAATATAAAGCTGAGAAAAGAAAGTCCGAATCACAGGGATTCTACCTTATGTAGGATAATGGGAACTGCTCTCTGATGAGGAGCTCTGGGGTTAAAGGAAGGGTGTCACCCTGCCCTGGGTGTTGTGTCCTGGGAGAACACGGGTTGTGAAAGCCCTGGCCTCCACCCAAACTGCCTCGGTTCCAGTCCTGCCTCTGATGGATCACTGTGCCCCGTTTTATTCCCATCCATCAATGCCACCACCCACTTCATATGGCCACCATGGGAAGTCACCTAATAAACATGGAAAGTAGTTATAATGCCATAGAATATATTGGATATGCTCAGAAGATGTCAGCCTGCATTGGGGAGGCAGGGAGAGTATCCCAGGCAGAGGGAACAGCAAGTACAGAAAGCCTGACAACAAGAATGTATCTGGGGAATGTGTGAGAAATGGCACAGGGGCTGGAATGAAGCAAGAGGGGAGTAAAGACTGTAAAGATGATGCTAGAGAGGTACCTTGGAGCCAGACTAGAAAAGCCCAGGCGAACACTTGGTATGGAAAGTTTAAATTAGGGACAGCTGACAGTCTACAGCTAGGACTGTATCCAACTATTCCGACTCTACATCTAGACAGCTTCAGCTGTAGAAGTCCTCCTAAATGGTCTATTGTGGTTCCTCCACATTCTGAGACCTGTACCACCAGGATCCTAGATTGCCTATGCCAAGTTTGCCACCAGAGACAAAAGTCATCAGGATTCTTCTATTAATAACTGATCTAGATACTCCTGGAAGGGAAAAAGAATACTGTCTCATTTACAGATAAAAGGCCAAATGACTCCTCAACCCAAGCTGTAGCCCACTTACTTGTCAAGTTCCCAGCATGTGGATGCTGTCAGCCATGTCTACACAAATGGCCACTTTTTGAAAGGCCATTTTGTTGGGTTATTGTTATGTTCTGTGCATCAAATGTCATTAGCTGAAAACCATGCATTGAACATTTAAAGCTTTTCTTAAATAATGCAAAGACGGGTTACCACTTGTAGGAATTATAAAACCCATGTTTTATTCATATTTTTTTTTTACATTTTTCCCCGGATACCAGCAGCCACGGCAGTTTGGGAGGGAAGATACTCATGTTGGAAATAGTTTTTTGTCTGCTCTGTTGAAGCAGCGCTTCAACAGTGATCAAAGCAGTGATCAAAAAATGCATATGATCGAGTTAAGGTAGGAGGTAACTAGTTTAAGGCATGTTCTAAATCTGAAGCCAGCTGGGTCCCATTTGCCAACAATCCACCAAATTCTGTAGAAATTAAAGAGTAGCGATCTGTAGCAAAGGGCACAGACTCTCGCAGATTCCTGTGTCTCTCAGTGCCAACTGGAGAGGTAGTCATCTCGACCAGTTCTTGGCTGGCAGGAGAAGGGATGGCTCTGAAATGAGGGTCCGCTGGGTGGAAATGGAGATTCTCTTTGTCTTCTCATATGCCCTTGACCTATCCACTCAAAGAAAACATGAGTCCTTTTGGGGGCAGATTTGTTTTTTTAAATTACAAAGACTTAGTCAAAAGCAAAAGAAGAGAAGAGATACAAGAAAAAATAATTGTACCATCTTTGAAAGCATTTATACTATTCTATCTTCAAGAAGACATTCATGTCATTGAATAACTTTTTTTAATTTGGCATTTTCTTCCTTCTTTATTCAAATTTGTGAATTTCTTTTCAATATAGCAATTTCCAAAGAAGTATTAAACATAAAAGTTCATTCTTAAAAAGAAGACAAGATGGTAGATTGCCAATTCCAACATTAATGGTATAACTTTTCTTTTCTCCTGCTCAGTACTTACTAGTGGTTTAAGAAAATACCTGAGACAAATTAGGAAAAAGAGACTAGTGATTCAACATGTATGGTCCAAATTTAAATTATAACGGAATGCAAAAATATCACTGTAGATAAAAACAGTAAAAACTGGCCTTGGAAAAAATATCAAGCTTCAGAATACAATCATATAATTCAAGAGGATTAATCAAGTATAGAAGCAAAATAGTTTAAAGCCATGACATTATTAACTTCAAAAAAGTTTTATTGAGCATCTATTATATGCCTAAATGAGAATACTAATATAAATATCCTCACCCTAGTCTTCAAGTAGACTTAGCAACTCAGTATCCATCAAACATCAACCATCCATAAATGACCTAATGTGTTTTCTCATATCTGAGTACCAATTTGTAGCAAGAGTTAGTAAATAATTTTATTTAAGTTGACTCAGTTTTATTCTGAACTGCATACTTGATTCTTATAATTCTAAGCAATAATATACCTACTCACGTTTGTTTCTATTGTCTTTGCAAAAAATATATAATATCCTCTCCCTTTCTATATACATTTTCTTTTCATAGTACTTAATACTAAGTAGGCACATCTGGTTCTCCTTTACCACCAGGATTACCAAGACACACTTCTCTGCTTCATTGAAAGAAGGCATGACCACATGACTTACCATAGCCAATGAAATATGAAGTGGAAACGACATGTTTAAAAGCTTTAAACTGTTGTTATTTAATTCTCTAGCTCACTCCT